AGGGTTTAGGGTTTAGGGGGTCTTATTGTCAGCTGTTAAGGAAGCTTTTGATTTAAGCCACCATAATAAGAAGGAAGCCATATTCTTTTTACCATCGATCCTGTTTTGGTAGTTTAACCTAGAATATAAGCTCCTTACAAAGAACTCAGGAATGCGGCTATGCGCGTGAAGCACCGCTGGCGGCCTACAACCTTCACCTCGGTAGCCGTGAACAGCTGGGGTGCTACGCCCCTGATGGTCAGCATCGTGGCGGGCCTCTTCGATGTTGCAGCTTTCCTGATCGTGGCCCGGGCCGAGTTGGAGATCCGGAACACCCGTGGTAAGACGGCCGTGATGCTAGCTGAAGAGATGCAGGCACCGGACTTCCTTGTAGCGGCCTTATCAGGTGCCGGCCGAGCTGACTACCTAGCCCATGAGATTGCGGGTGGACTGACAGGAAGCGCCACCCTCAACATGCTGCCGTTTGGGTCCCTGGTGACGCTTGAGCTGTAAATCAGCGCATTGCGAGACAAGGGCAAGCAAACACCTGATTCAGTTCGATTAGATATTGTGTGCTGTGCGCCAGTTGCAAGACGTGTGTACAGAGTTGGTTTCTAGCACTTCCTGGCGGTCGTTTATTTGGCACATGCCGAGCTGGGAGGCAACAAGCCTTGTGCTGCAAAGCCGGGAACTTGTATCAGGATTCCGGCCTGTGTTGGTTTTGCTCCTGGAGCCCTAGCAACAAATCGCCCCACTCCTTGCGATGTCATCGGGAGCTAGTGGAGGCGTGCCGCTGGGGGAAGGGAGGAATCTTTTCCTGAGAACCTCTCTCGAGTTAGGAGACCGGGAGGGCCTCAATGAACCAACCACGTGTATAGCACTTGCTGCATAGGGTAGTATATACACACCTACATACATACTGTAGGTTCGGTAGTACGTGTGTATATATACGTACATATGCACACATATATGTACATGCATATGTGTATATACATATACACATACATTCATACATACACATACATACATACATATATTCACATACAGATACATGTGTATCTTATTCACAAGATGATGAATATTCTGAGTTTATTATTGTTGCTCTTATTATTGTCATGGTTATGCTAGTCGTTATTTGTGTCCGTCTTGTCATTATTATTACTATTCTTGTTTTCAGTCATTATTGTTGTTATCATTATTCGTTTTCGTAGTAGTACTACTATCAGTATGAGTTTCAGTATTGGAGGTGTGAGTATTAGTGCTAAGTATTTGTACTAGCATTTGGATTAGGGCTAGTGTTGCTCTAGTAACTCTAGTATTAGGATTAGTATTCGTAGTCGTATGTGTATTCGTATTAGTGTTAGTATTATCTTCATTATCATTATTCTTCTTATGTTGATCATTACGGCCATTATGCTTATTACTAGGATTATGATTATGATTCTAATTTTACGATCATGGCTGCCAATCCTATCATTATTAAAACTCATTTTATGTACATATACATATACACACATTCACATATTAGATGACCTTTAAGCCCTAAACCCTAACCCCTAAACCCTCATGTTCTTGTTGCCTCAAGAAGGCTGAGCTAAACGCTCGCTTCTGTTTCTTGCAGTGGGGCAAAGCCCCCACCTGTGCCTTTCCATATCGTCCATGCCAGTGAACAGCCCCGTATCCTAAACTCCTGATGGGTTTAGGGCTTAAAGGTGAGAATGCTAAACTCTAGCTAAGCCCTGTGGAAACGCTGAACCAAGCCCTGAGCCATCCGAAACACGGTGCACTTACTCTGTCTCTCTGTGTGTGTCGAGGAGACTCATGTTGGAGAGGTTTTGTTTGGTTTTAGCGTTCAGGGCTGAGGGTTTAGGGTTTTGGGGTTGAGGGTTGAGATTATATAGGTTTTGAGCAAGGGGCGAGGGCTGTAATTGGGGACTGGTAGGTTTAGGCTTATGACCTTTTCAACGTCAAGGCGCACTACGTAGTGCGACACAACCTAGCAACGAACTTTCATTGAAAATGGGTGAAAGGCAAGTCTACCAAGATCCAACATCCTTAAACCCCAACCCTAAACTTTAAACCCTCTATAATCCTACAAGCTCCAACAACAACAACAACAACAACAACAACGCTGGAGACACTCTAACATCGCTGGTTGTGGGGCATTGCCATTCAGGCCCAGAAGCTTGCCCACGTGATCTGGCAGGCCTTGCGCACCGGACTTTCTTGAGGATGCATCTCGGGCTCTCGAACTTTTGGCTATTTTCGGGGCGCCTGGCGGGTAAGTAGGGGTTTGGCTTTAGTGCGTTATGGGCTTTAGCAACTTTAGCAGGTACTTCAGCATTGTAGCGTTGAGGGTCTTTGTGTCGACTCGTGGTGTGCACATTGGTGTGCCATGTGGAGTGCCGACGTCCCTGCTCGGAGAACATTGCCGGTGTGTCCTATCTGGCAAGTGACACCGTAAGAATTAGAGACCATGGACCATGCCCATGCCATCCTTACAGCCATTGCAACCAAGGCTTCTGATCCTGAACCCGGCACCTTGACTCCAAAACTCCGAACGGCACATCTAGCGGCTTTCTGAGGCTCCTTATGACAATTACGGTACAACACACCCCGAAACCCTATTCTAATTAGTCAGGCCCCTATAATCACCCTACAGCCAGGATGTCATATCCTGGGTCAAGGATGGTTCAAGCGGAGAGGCCAAAAGAGCCCTAGGACCGAGTCTGGGCTCAAACCATTTCAGCAAGGGGTGGTTTTCGCTCTCAGAGTTGGCACTGAGGGTTTCGTTGGGGAGTTAGGACCAAGCCCCAAACCCTAAACCCTAAACCCTAAACCCTAAACCTTAAACCACTAAACCCCTAAACCCCTAAACCCTAAACCACTAAACCCTAAACCCCAAGTTCCTCGAAATCCGAGCGTTAGCAGTTTTTGACTTGCGGAGGCAGTGCCAGTGTTGTCTCATACGTTGGGATGGTGCAGGGGTGCCTTGACGTACATGGGTAGTTCTCTAACTGAGGCTCTCTTTTTGGGTCCCCAATATAGTACGGCACCCTTACAAAAGGGACCCCAAAAGGGAACCCAAATTTAGAAAACTACCCACATATCTGCGTGAATACATGCACACGCACACAGGCAAGATATAGGTAGATAGACAGACAGTCAGAGGAGTAGATGGGTAGATATACAGTTAAATAGACGTACATACAGCATATCATAGGTATAGATATACAGATATATAGTTATACATATATATCTATATAGATAAAGATATATAGATATATAGATATATAGATATATAGATATATAGATATATAGATATATAGATATATAGATATATGGATATATAGATATATAGATATATAGATATATAGATATATGGATATATAGATATATAGA